TCCAGTCCAGCCCTGAAAATGACCCTTTACGGTTGAAACTGAGCCTAAATCTCCACTTTCACAGCCGACTCGTAGGCGATTCCCCTGACACCTCGTCATGACTGTAATTTCAGCCCCACCAGGGCAATTCTCACCGTACTAGAAACACTGTTACTTCTAATCCTCAGAGATCCACATCTCAACTCACTGTGAGCGCATATACCAACCTCCCCATTGTAAATTTATTCATGCACCCTCGCTGTAGCACCTTGAGATACGGCACAAAGAAAGCACCACTTACATAAATTATATTGTCATTTATTTTCGAGAGGTAAAAGCCTCCGAGCTGTTTGCATAATTTAGCTGATCCGCAAACATCACTAACGTAGAAAACGGTTACATCTTTGGCATTTTAAGCACTTTGACCTGAAAACATCAGCCCCCCCCCCCCACACACACACATACAGCGCCCCTCTTCCCCATTCCTTGTGAGCACCTCTCCAAAGACTCAGCTGCGCTGTTCATCGATTGTGAGGATTTAAAGAAACATGAAGCGGACTCTGGAGATATGAATACAGAAGAAATTTGTTTGATATTGTTCCACGCATGCACTGTGGCCGCTCGGATACATATTCATGAATGCTAGGGAGAAAGGCATTCGAGTCATTTGAGTGCACGGCTCTCCTCAGATATGGATAAATTCTTTAAGATGCCATATCCGTCCTCTTAAGCGTCAAAGTGCCTTGTGCAGCTTCATAACCTAATGAGCCTCCTTTGTGCTTGAAACTGAACTTATTGTAATTTTAGAAATGGTAAGGGTGAAATGAGCCTCAGATAAGTGAGGGCAGATGACAGTATTCATTGTGTTAAGTCTTTGGATGAAACCTGGCAACCTACCTTTAAGTCACAATTGATTTTTTTTTGGATTAGAAAATTGTAGACTTTAACCTCTATTGAGATGGAGGTATTTGTGGTTAGGTAGCATATAAATTAATTCCCATCGTTTATGTAGGGTCTTATGGACCCCAGTGCAAAAACACTTATAGGTACCCTCATATAAAAACTGCGTTTACTGATTTAAAAATGTCAATGTAAAGCTTGTTTACTCACCATTGCTGTGTTTCAGTGAAGTTGGTGCTCTAATGTGGGATAATGGCTGAAGTACAGCAGTAAAAAAGGTAAAAAAAGAGTGAACAGAGTTTCCAAAACTCAAAAAATGTTGCAAAAATGATTCGAAGATACAGAGAAAATGAGACTAACAGTCGTGCAAGACCTGGTAGACCACCACAACTGTACCCATCAGGCAAATGGTATTTAAAGCTTTTGTCTTTGAAGACAAAAATCACATATTTACTGAATTTATCTAACTAAAGAAACAAAAAATAAAATCTAAAATGTGCCATAACTTACACAAGCCATGTTTTATGTTTCTCTTTTTCCCAGTATGTCAAATTCAGTGAATAAAAAGTAATTGTGTATTGAAATATGCAGAAATGTGTTCTAGGTAGAGGATGTGTTCACTTATTTTCACTTAAAAAAACAATAAAACATGGAATTTTATATATATATATATATATATATATATATATATATATATATATATATATACATACATATCGCTGCTGTTGGAACAAAACCTTGTATCTCCAAAATGATGACTTTACAGGAGAAGGAAAAAATACTTTTCTTTTATGTAAGTCAATGGAACCAGACGTTTTTCCAAGCCATTTTGGGACTATTCTTTAGTCCATTCATCATAAAATTTACACACAATGTAAAGGACAACAGGCACTTTCAAATTATGTCAAAAACCGAAAAACGACAAAAATGGAGATACAAGGTTTTGTTCCGACAGCAGTGATATTTATATATATGTACATGTATACACCGATCAACATTATGACCACCTCCTTGTTTCTGCACTCATTGTCCATTTTATCAGCTCCACTTACTACATAGGTGCACTTTGTAGTTCTGCAGTTACAGACTGTAGTCCATCTGTTTCTCTGCATACTTTGTTAGCCCCCTGTTCTTCAATGGTCAGGACCGCCATGGACCCTCACAGAGCCCTCACTCCTACATTGTCAGTCCACCTTGTAGATGTAAAGTAAGAGCCGATAGCTCATCTGCTGCTGCACAGTTTGTGTAGGTCATCCTCTAGTCCTTCATCAGTGGTCACAGGACGCTGCCCACAGGACGCTGTTGACTGGATATTTGTGGTTGGTGGACTATTCTCAGTCCAGCAGTGACACTGAGGTGTTTAAAAACTCCTGCAGCACTGCTGTGTCTGATCTACTCGTACCAGCACAACACACACTAACACACCACCACCACCACGTCAGTGTTGCTGCAGTGCTGAGAATGATCCACCACCCAAATAGTACCTGCTCTGTGGGGGTCCATGGGGGTCTAACAAAGTATGCAGAGAAACAGATGGACTACAGTCTGTAACTGTAGAACTACAAAGTGCACCTATATAGTAAGTGGAGCTGATAAAATGGACAATGAGCATAGAAACAAGGACATAATGTTATGCCTGATTGGTGTATATATATATATATATATTTAAAATGGCTTGACTTACGAACCTATTCTGCTGCTTTTTAGGTGCTGACATTTTGACGTCCCCCTCCTTCCTTCCCACCACCACCAGTTGGGTCCCTGTCTGGTTGTCCAGGGAGGTAGGCTCCGCCCCTTCCATCTCTATCAGGATCAGCGAGGGTCTTGACACTCCAAGACCTGGGCAGAGGATGGGTCTACATTTAACTTCTCCTGAATTGTTATCGTTCAACTTGAAAAATCCCATATAACAGATTGTCCTCCTTCACTGCTGCCTCCTGAGTCTTTGTGGCAGAACTGAGTTTATACTGTACCGTTATAGTGCTAAGCTGTCCAGGCAGAATGAAGAACATTACACTTGTATTTGCATCACTGCACTGGTTGCCTGTTTCCTCTGGAATTGATTTTAACATTGGTTTGGCAAAAGCGAAGCAGCCGTCTGTTTTTATGCTCCGAAGGTTTAGAGTTCTCTGAAGAACACCTTCTGCTAACAGCTCTACACTTATTTATTTACTGTGCTTCTCAAACTTCTCAAATTGATGTTTATTCTGTTCACTCACATTTGGTGGAACCGCCATTCTGTGTATGAACAGTGCAGTTACAGATTCTGATGCTGACTTTGATGATGATAATTATTATAATTAGGGAAAACTCATGATATCGGCATTGGGCAGATGTTTACATCTGACCGACATCTCAAACAGACATTTGATTACTTACTTGTTTGTGCTCTGGAGGAACAGAATGTTTGGGTGGCTGCGATAAAATAACAGCATTCTATTCATTTTACTGCAGAAATAAATGTTATAATGTTTCTGAAATGATAATTTTCTAGTGTCAGCATTTTATCAGTGTTTATGTTTTGGCATCAGCAGTTATGCGCATTAAAATATCAGATATTGTCTCAACATTGCTGACAATATTGGTGAATCCTTTTTGGTACAGAGCCCATAAGAGGGTTAAAGGACAACTCCACTGTTTTTAAAACCTCTGTGTAAACAAAGTCAGTCAGAGTGGTTTGATGAAATGGTTCATTTGTAGAGAAGCTTACAGACGTCTGATGTCTTTACAGTGGTGGTGATAGGAACCAGGGGTTGCCATGTCTACAACACAACTAAAGCCATTTTATTTACTATCCAAAACCACCAGTGAACCCACATGTGTCTTCTGAGTTTTATATGTAATGCTAATGATGTTAAAATAATGGTAAATATGGAAAAATAAGTTTTTTGGGGGACTATTTTGCCTTAGAACACTTCTTTTGCATTCTTCCACCACAAATGGATTAAATTAAACTGATTAAAATCCATTTTAGACCAAAAACCTTTTCACAAAAGTACTGTAAAACAACGTCTAAGGCATCAGGCAACATATTCATGACTGTTTCGTGCAATAACGTTCTGTGAGGGAGCTTTTAAAGGTGGACGTCTGGTTCCTATCACCACCACTGAGAACAATTCTGACTCACTGTTTCTCTAGAAGGGAGCTTTTCGCACCTAGACACTCTTTGATGACATGTGAATCATTTAATCATGCACACATCTTGAAAAGTCAGTGGAGTTTTCCGTCAGTGTTCAACTGTCAGATGAAGTCTGAGAGGGTAAAAGTGGTTTAGGCTCTGTTTTTTTTTTACCAAACAGCTCTGGATGACTTTTACATCTCAACCACTTAATCTCACAGCAATTTTGAAAAATCGGTGGAGTTCCCCTTTAACACGTGGCCTCAATATATTAATTCGTGGCCACGCCTGTTTAAAAATGATCACCTTAACGTCACCCTAGGGACTCCATTTATTTATTTATTTATCTGCTTCTTTCTTCTTCTTTCTTCCTTACTCGGAATCTTTCAGTCGAAAAGCTCCAGCTCAGCTCCCTGTCTGAACTCCGCGGACCCTCATTTCTCTCTGTCAGCTCCCCCCCGTCCAGCCCTCCGGAGTTCAGAGTTAAATGTCCATTTCGCCTCCTGTCAGTCCGGGCGGAGGAGGGGCGGGTCAAACCACGAACCAGCCAATCGCAGCGCAGGCGGCGAGAGGCCACGAGCCAATCGCAGCGCGGCGTGGGCGGGGCTTCGTCGGAATGCGGGTGGGGAAAAAGTAATAACGGTCGTCCGCGCGGGAGAGCGAGGCAGAGTGAGAGCGGGAGTGAGAGTGGGAGAGAGAGAAAGACGGAGTGGCGGAGAAAACGCAGACAAGTGCAGAGAGACGGAGAGAAGGAGGAGAGGAAGAGCCCGGTCCCTGACAGGGGGCCACGGTGAAGACCCAGTTTGTTTTTTTTGTCAGAGAGATAAGAAAGTGTGCGAAGCGAGTCGTCAGAAAGCGGCTGGAGAGTGGACCAAACTCTAACCGGCTGGCTGACGCTAACCGTTAATGTTAGTTCGGCGCCGGTTGAAGCCTCAGCCAAGTCCAGCCCGAGTCCCGTTTACCGCCGAAGAGACTTTTTTTCCACCGAGCGGCACTCTTTCCCTCCCTCTCATCCCTACGATGCTGCCCGGCGTCTTCTTTCTCTCCTGGCTCGTTGGTTTCGGTGAGTAAACGGAGCTCTCCCCCGTCTATCCTCCTCCGTCTGTCAGAACGACTCGGCCGTTAGTAACCGACCGTTTGACTTACAGGGGAACTCCGCCGAATTTCCAAAATTTCTGCGTAAGTCAGTGGTTGAGATGTAAACGAAGTCATTCAGTGTTTTTTGGTGTGAAATGCTTCATTTGTAGACAAACTTAACTGACTACTTCTTCCTTACAGTGCTGGTGAACCAGGGTTCACACTTGCCTGATGAGTTTTTAACGTATGTAATGTTGGTTATGGTAAAATAACGGCCAGACTGATTAATTTAGGCACGATTTTGCCTTAGAACACTCTTAATGTATCCCTCCACCATAGATTAGATTAAAATAAATTCATTAAAATACGTTTCAGACCAAAAGCTTTATCACCAAACTACTGTAAACCAAGGCATCAGGCTGTGAATTCATACCCATTTCATGTAGTAACTTTCTGTAAGGGGGCTTTTAGAGCTGGACGTCTGGTTCCTATCACCACCACTGTGAACGGTTCTGACTTGGTAAGCTTCTCTAGAACTGAACATTTCACACCGAACCACTCTGAATGACTTTGTTTACGTCTTAACCATTTAATTCTGCAGAAATTTTGAAAGATTAGTGGAGTTCTCCTTTAGTGTTCAACTGTCAGGTGGGGTAAAAGTGGTTTTCGCTCTGTTTTCTCATTATTTTGTTATGCTGATAGTCATCTGACAAATGAACGTAGCAATCGAGCAGTTATTCAGGTAAGATATGTGACATTTGATTCAGGTAAGTGATGTTAAAAGGCAGCCGGTTCAGTTCACACTCTCAGTGGCTTTATGGCTCAGTCTGTGGTTACAGCTGATGGTTGGTTGTGTTCTTATAGACGTGGCAAAGTGATTTCAAGCAAATGACCCACAACATCTTTGCTCCGTTGTTAAGCTTTGTATGAAGTCGTTTGGTCTGTAGACATATATAGGGTACTGTGCAAAAGTCAGAGACCACCCTTCATTTATTTAATACCCTGTCAAAATGGCCAACGTAGCTATAGTTACACATCAACAACTAAATATAATATCAACATTTATACACTTTTTGCCTTTATTACAGCTTCTTTTCTTTTCAGGAGACTCGATTTCAGTTTCAGTCGGCAGGGATACTTTACTACTCCTCCAGAGTTCAGTCTTAGAAGTTGGTTTAACGTTTTCTGAAGAAATCCCACATTCAGTGATGTTGAGATCTGGACGCTGGGGTGGTCAGTCCATTCTTCTGAGAACACCAGCAGATTCTTTATTTGATGTGTCTATTTCCTTTAAGGGCTTCTTGACAGCTACACGTCCATAGACCCATAGCGCTGAGTTGTCGTCTCACAGTGGAAGGATGGCTGTGGATTTTGTGGCTTTGGTGGTCTACCAGGTCTTGCAGGTGGTTGTTAGGAATCCTGTATCTTTTAATAGCACCAGTTTGGGAAACTCCTGTCGTTTCATTTGACTTTCTCCTTTACTGATTGCCTTATATCTGATCTCTTCAGAAATATTTTTTGACTGTTAATGAAATAAACGAGGTCTCCGACTTTTGCACAGAACTGTGTTTACATATCGATGCTGTCGGAGCAAAACCTTGTATCTCCAAAATGGTAACTTTACAGGAGAAGGAAAAAACATACTTTACTTTTAATGTAAGTCAATGGAACCAGACTTTTTACCAAGTCATTTTGGGCCGTTTCTTCTGGTCCATTCGTTGTGAAGATTACACACAATGTAAAGAGCAGCAGGCATTTTCAAATTATGTCAAAAACTGAAAAACGACAAAAATGGAGATATTGTTTTGTTTCGCCAGCAGATATGTATGTATGTATGTATATATATATTATATATATATATATATATAATATATATATATATATATATATATATATGGCTTTTTTACTGCTTAATGTCATGCCGCAGGTATAAATATTCAACTTAGGTTAGCTCATAGTTATGATTTCTGAAAATGGTTCTATTTCTACTTTGTACCTTCTTATTTTTTTTCCTGAAAAGTGAGCCTGTGAGTTTGTGTGCGGTCTTGAGTGTTGAGGCGAGGTATTTCCGTGTTCCCTCGATGACACTTTAGAAGTAGACATAATCTAAATGTCCTGCCTGTGTGAAATACTGTACAGCCCAGCTGGCTTCATCTCATTTTGAACAGGCTTATTTTCAATTTTGAAAATAAGTATGGCAGTCTGGTGGATTGCCTTCCCTCTCCACGGCATTTTATATGCCATTTGCTGATTTTATCTGATGATCGCATACGCCTAATGTGTCCTAAAGAAGGGGCCACACACAGCTGAGCAAACACAACGAGGGTCGAACACCGTACAAACTCCTAATTTGAATCTGACATCAGCAATAAAGCTTTTAATATTGCTCGCACTCACAGTCTCGCAGAAAGTCTACATCAAGTCTCGAGAGGCGAGCTTTATTACCACTTTTATGAGTGGATATGGGCTGAGATGCTGAGGCTAACAGGGGAGCTTCTTTCCCCTCTTTCGAGTCTTGAGAGGGAGAGCAATTGCGATGGTGCCCAAATGAGTGCTTCACTCTGGAAATCATTTTTACCACCTACAAGACGACAATGACAGTGTTTAGTTCACTCAGCACTGCACTTCGGGCCTTCTTTCACTGTTTCTAGCTACATGTATATATAGAGGTGGGCGATATGGCAAAAATATAGTATTGGGATACTTTTAGACATTTTCGCAATACACGATACGTCACAATATTTATTTTTTTAGCCATGTGATCAGTTGGAATGGAGGAAAAGGAATGAGTAGTGCTACATTTAAAAAAATACTATCAAAAACTGTGAATACAATTATTTTTATTCAAAATTTGGATCAATTACCATCAATAAATGAACTAATTTTGTTCTCTATATAATGAAACATGCAGTTGGTCCGAGTTCTACAAGTACTGGCGATATCCACATGTTTAGAAAAGCATATTGTATTGTGTTGTGACATAATTTATCATGATAACGATATATATATTGTCACATTGCCCAGCCTTAAGTATATACATCAGGCAATAATGGGATGAAATGGCTTTCATCCAGTATTACTGGAGCAAAGCTGTAAACCTGTTTTGGTTCATGAAGCCCATTTATGAATTATACTAGCTTTTGTTCTCAGATATAAATGAATAAATAAATATAAATAAAATTAAATAAACAAACACATATTTTAATCTGTTTTTCTCCCAATTTAGTGACAGCCAATTCAATTGCTTCAGGCTCTTAACCGCCTCCTTTCCTCCAATCCTTGACTGTTGACATTGTCAGCTTGATTTACCGTCAAATTAAGGACCAAACCTTCATATTGACATGAAAATATTTGAACCAGCGATCACTATGGAAACAAAAACATTTATAGAGTAGTGATACCTGAGGGTTATCCAACCACTTTACAGCTTTTAACCTACTTTCAGTCTTCTTTCATAGCCTACACGCTGTGGTTCGGCCTTATTTTCATTTACTGAATGTGCCGTTTCGGAGGTATGCTGCATTCAGAAAGTGACGTTATTCTGATATTATGTTTGTATAGGTGTGCAGGCAGTAATTAATATGGCTCAGTATCGTAGTGTTGTCTCTTTTTTCCACTGCTAAAGCACAAATACTCTCATCATGTGTGATGGAGCATGGGAACAGCGTGTCATGTCATACCAGGGGAATAGAAAACCAACCCAGATAATAAATGATTACGTTTAGTACTGTAGAAAATTCTGATTTATTGCATCAGTAAGATTTAATTTCCACAAATATAGGTGACGTTTCTTTACAAACAGCCTTCTGCTCTATTACCGTGTGAAAAGGAAAGATAGAAAAAGTGTCATGAATGGACTCTGTTACAATCAGGTGAAATGTGAAAGGAGAACTAGTTAACTCCACAGTTATTTGCATCAATAAGACATTTCCTAGCATGCGCTGTCAGAACGCGTTTGCGGCTCCTACAGATTCTCCGGCTCATCTATTGCACTGTTATGGCAGATAAATCCAGCCGCTCCATACTAACGCTCCGCATTCTCTTTTAAATTGGTTATTATGCCATGAATAGAGAGCTGTTTCGACTTCTGAAGGGACATGACACCGCATCTATGAGTAAAAAAGAAAATGTATGTGGAAGTGCACGGCGCTCTTCTGCAGGCTTAGTGTTTTACTGGTGAATAGTCCATTATGGCTCTTAAAAGAACAGTCTGTTCGGTCCTGTATGTGTTTGGCTGACAAACATGAAACTGAATACGCTCATTATAAAGTGAATTCAGATGTGGAAACTTTTCCACCGTGATTTGAAGACAGTAAGGCCCAATCCCATTTCACCCCTCGCCCCTACCACTTAGCCCTACCCCTCCATTTTGTGCGTTCATGCGTAGGAGTAGGGTGTCCTGATTGTTGTTGAGATAGAGGGGTAGGGCGAAGTGTTAGGGCTAAATGACCCTCCAAACGGAGGTTTTTCAGAGACACTACAAAGAGTGTTATGAGAAAAAAAGAAAAAAAGCAGCAAGATGCCTGAGCAAGAGACCAAAGAAACCCACAATTGTGAGAATTTTCTCTGTTAAAATTACGATAACCACTGTATTATCTCATTTTAATGTCATTTCAATGTATTATGGCCCTTTTCTTCATATCAAGACTAAAAAATCACTTGTAGTATGCTAATGTCTCTGTAGCTAGCTAGCTAAATTTCCCGTTCCACCTTAAATGGTGCAGCAGTTCTGACACCTGAAGTGCCAGAATGTAACTGCTGCTCCATTTAAGGTGGAACTGGGAAAATTCAAACAAGAAGCTGGAGAATATCTGACTTCAGCTTCATATCACTGAAGAAGGGGGTGGGTGATAATAAATAACTGCCCCCCTCTTTGAAGGCATATGATGCCCTAAATGTAACTAAAGCCCAGCAGTGAGGAGCTGAACTTTACCCTCCTCTGCTGTCACTGCAGACTGGCAGAGTCGCCTACAGAGCAGCGCTGGT